AGTTGAAGGGAGAAAATATCAGAAAATTTAATTATTTTTCTGCTCTGCCCCAGGTTCTTAGAACCTAGCATTCTTTTCTGTGACAAAGCAGTTCGGGTTAGTTGATTCTTATGTTCATACCAGCTCTAAAATTGTGTCCTTTTGTGAAAGCTAAAATGATAAACTATCCCTTAGAAAGAATGGATGATACAATTTTTTTACAATTTCTTTATTCAAGAATCCTTTTCTGATTCTAAGAGCCAGAGGCAGTGGAGGATTGCAAAGAAACAATTTTCCAGACAGCTGGGCAGTTACTCATATGAACTCATAGCAATGGTAAATTAAGGGTGGATCCAAATCCAGGAGGCAATAGTTCTTCTAGCTATGTGTTAGAACTGTCTGTCTCCCAGAACTGTGCTGATGGATCTGTTTTGTCCCCTCAACCTGTAGAGATAGAGCTTTCTGTGTTCCCACCCTATGTAGATGGACCTTACTCCAGAACCCTATTTCTTCCACTGTGTCAGTCCCCTAATCTCGCCATACCTATAATTTATTCAAAATCATTTCTTCAGTTTCATTGGGGAAGTACAAGTTCAAGTTTGGCTCCACCCTTACCTTAATAGGCCTTTTCATCCCTAGTTCCCTTTCATCCAGGTCACCTGTCCTTTCTCAATCTCCACTATGTTCAGTGAAGATGGGTGGGTGCACATCTTGCGGAACTTTGATATGTCAGTTCTTACGCATACATTCATTATTCTTTTTCCTGAAGTACAAAACTGAGGTTGCCAAGGAAACACCTTGGCATCAAATTCAAGAAGATGGTTTTGCTGGGGTTAATTAAAAACTATTAGTCCATGTTAATACAAGTTAATTTATAAAACTCATTCTTACAGTAGACACTATAGCTATTTCAACATAAACTTTAAATCTTGGCAAAAGTGTGCTCAAATGCAAGTTTAAAGTTCTAGGTTTGATAAGATGTTGATTATGGGGGAGGATTTGAGCCTAATGTGCTTCAAGCCTGGTAATATCTAACTAGATACCTAACTCTTTGTCATTAAACAACAATGTGAACAAATGTGAATATGTATAAATTTTATGCATCTATTGGAATTTTCGCCTTTTAAAAATTATTGACTAATCTCTCCTATACTATAAGCACCACAAATATCTAAAACAGAGAAATTTATTAAAAGAAAAATCAGAAAATTCCATCATGTTTAACCATGTATCTCAAAGCTTTTACAATGAAAAGGTATAATTCCTTGATGCAATGGTTTACTTAAAATTTTTTGCTATCCATAAGCTAGAAAATTTCATAGATCTATACATTAACAGTTTTTGCACCAAAACTTGTGATTATTGAGCTACATGGAGAGGTGCGTGTTTTGGCCACCAAGAACTGTAGGGTCGGGGTACTATGAGCTCTGACACACTTTAGAAAAATCATGGAGTCTTCCTGATGACTGCTGGGATCAAAAACAGAGGCAGAGCTTGGGGAAATCTGAAGAAGAGCTTCATGGGAGGATGAGATGTACTTCAAAGTTTTGAGTAGAGCTGAATGTCCTGGTCAGTAAAAGGTCAGAATCTGGACAAGCACAGGAAGAGCAGAGCCAGGCCAACTCAGATGCCAAGCCACATAGCATTCCAACTGCTGGATTCCCTTTGCTTTCATAATGAGCCTACCAAAGGGACTTTTGTTTCATGTAAATAAGATGGCAAACAAACTAAGCTCTAACAGGTGCAAAAGGCTTATTTTGTCCTGAGCTGAAGCTATCTTCACCAAGCTATGGCTTACCATCAAAGTTGGTGACAAGGAGGTATTCTTTTCTCATTGGAAAACTTGGTTATGGGTTCTCAGTAGAGATATACCAGAAAGGCAGCAACTAGCAAACGATTTTTATTTCAAAGTCATTATTAAAGCAGTTACTGACTGTTGCATTGTTGCTTGAAAGTTATTTCAGTACTTGGCATTTGGGTACATACTTGCCAAAGTTTGAAGTTTCTGTCCAAGCAGCTTTAGTGGCTGTCTGCCATTTTGAACAGCTCCCTAGAGCCCCTGGGTCCAGCTGTTTCACTAAGCTGCATTGTAGTGTTAATTCTGAAGGGGGATAATGAAATTCCAGCATGGAGCACAGTCTGTAAATCAAAAACTTCCATTGTAGGAACCAGCTTTTTCCCCTGGGTGACAGGACTGTGGAGTTAATATGCTAATTTCAATCTGAGTTCCGCCCCCTTGCTCTTCTGATTTTGTATTAATTCTCCGATTTATGCCTGCACACCTGTCAGTCTGAAAATCTGCTAGTGGGATGGACAGCCGGCTGTCTAAGGTGCAGAGGCAGAGCTGCAGATTAGGTGTTCCCTTGGGAGTCCTTCCAGTCAGGGCTCTGAAAGCACAGCTTATCTCTCATAAACTTGGTTCCCTCTAGAGAAACTTTAAAAGAGGCTTTGTTTTTGCCAAGAATTTCTTTCTGGGTTTCAGCTTAATTAACAATGATCCAAAGAAACAAAAATGAGCTCTTTGTGATCTTTGTAAATTCTGATTTCCTACTCTTATTTTTGGTATCTCAGATGTACTTAAAAAAAAAAAAAAGAAAGAAAAGAAAAAAGAAAAAGTATGAAAAGAAATGTCTAGATGTTTTGAGGTGGGTTTTATTTAAGACATTTTCTGAAACTATAAAAATTTCCAAAGACTGAAAGCAAGCAGGGTTATTATATTTATGCCATACCATTATTCCTAAAAAGAATTTTACATGGAAAGGAAAGTAGTTCTTCTTATAATATGCTAGACTTCAATGTATTGGAAAATATTACTTACAATCTATCATATGACAGACATTGGGGATGAACGAGGGATGCAAAAGTAATAAAATAGTTCAACCATTAAAGTCTTCATCTACTCAGCAATCACATATAAAGAATAGCAATATTATTACTTATTAATACATAATTAATACATGGTGCAATTTCTGTCTGGAATAAATATAGATGGGATAGAGATTTACAGAGACCCTTGAGCCAAGTCAGAAAGTGACAGCTGAGTTTGGGAATTCAAGATGGAAGATAAATAAAAGCAGAAAAGCAAGTGACACATAGAACCCACAATATGTCCTTGTGGAGCTGTGAGCCATCAGTTAGCACTGAATGTAAAGTTCAAGGTGAAATTCCTAGCAGATGAGATTAGGCTGTATGCAGGTGTCAGGTCACTGGGGCAATGAAACACTTTTTTATATTTGTGATAGTACCTAGCTGTGACAGATACCATGCTAAGTAATAGGTGAGACAAAAATTTGTGACATATTCATGATGTAAGCAGACTTTCACTTTAAAAAAATAACTGGGACAAATAATAAATAAATAATTAAATAAATAAATAAATAATTGGTTAATTGATTAATTAATTAAAAGTAGAGATTCAAGAGGTCAGTCAGGATACTATCATAATAAAAGATATGAAGGGCCAAGCATACAGTGCGCTCTCCTCCATCATTACATTACAGAATGGTTTCTTTCCCTCTTGTCCTTCCAGTCTTGACTAGGCTAATTTCCTCTCATTTTTCACATCCTTCAATGTCACTTCTACCAAGGGGCCTTCTCCTAATATGCAGATGAGATTAGGTTCCATTATCCACACTGACATGCCATCCTGCCTATTTTCTTCCTAGCAATTACACTAACTGCAATTAACTACCTGTGCAATTATTTGTTTAGCATTCATCATCCATTAGCTTGTTGAAATCCCATTGAAGGGAGAGTATTTGTCTCACCTAGCAGAATATTCAGCACCTGACAAGTGTTCTTCCTGTATTTTTGTGTAAATACATGGTACGTAGGGAATAAAAGATGGAATAAAAGAGGTTGGGTAAAAGGAGCGCTTAAAGGGCCAGGCTAAAAGAACTTAGTGAATATATAATAGTGGAAAATAAATGAGTAAGAAGTGTGTTTTGATTCCCAAATTTCTAGTTTGATGATTGATAAGAATTATAAAGAAAGAGCAAGGTTAAGATTTTTTGTTAAGATTAGGGAGAGATAACTCAGCCATTAAAAGCAGTTACTGCTCTTCTAGAGGACTCTGGTTTTCTTCCCAGCACCTTCCTGGTAGCTAACAATTTGTCCCTAACTCCAGTTCCTGGAGATCTGATGCCCTCTTCTGGCTTGTGCAGGCTTTCATGCCCTGGTGCCCTTAACATTCAGGCAAAATATTCTTGCACATAAAACTAAAATATATGAGTATGAACATATGACTATGAATATAATGTTTGCATGCACATAAGTGAACCTGTGTCGTACAATACCTGTGGAGGTCAGAAGAGGGCATTAGATTCCCCTGGAATTTGAGTTATGGATGGATGTTAGCTTCCATGTGGGTACTAGGAATCAATCCCGGAACCTCTGCCAGAGCAATCATTAACCTTTACCACTGAGTCATCTCTCATGCCCGAAATAAAAAAAAATAATTGTTTATATTCACTTAAACTTGAATCCTGTTGGAATAAATAATGAGAGCAGAAAAGACTTGGTAGCATCTAGTCTCATATGATAATTTTTGAAAATCTGTACTGTGGACTATTTCTATAAAGTATTAGCATAGGCCATTTTGATTGATCATTCATTGCTTCAGGTTCAGAAGATTATGTGTCCTGATTGTTGTCTTCATATTTTTAGATTTAATCCAATTTCAAAACTGAACACATTTAGCATAAAGCAGTACACACACACACACACACAGAGAGAGAGAGAGAGAGAGAGAGAGAGGGAGAGAGAGAGAGAGAGAGAGAGAGAGAGAGAGAGGGATCCAGGTTTTTAGAGATATTTTTATATTAGACTATGCTTGAATGTGAAATAAAAATAGGAATAAAAGAGTGAATCTATAATAATTTTGAAGCTTAATCATCTAAGTGTGTAAACCTTTATACCAGTTAAAGGAAGATTTTTCAAAAGTATCAAATAAGCTAAAGTGTCATGCAATTATCTTAAGACTAATTCCTTTGATTAAATGACAATTATCTGTTTCGTTCCAGTTACACACAGAGAAAAGGAAAAAGACAAAGAAAAAACCAAAGAAAAGGAGAAACCTGAGAAGAAAGGTATGCAGTTATTCTTTAAGCTACTTTAACATTAAACACTTCCCTTTGGAAATTCTCTTCACTATATTCAGCTTCTAGATAATAATGCATTTCTTCTTTTAAAATGCTGCATTACATTTATTGTTATTGGATAGAGCCTAAAAGAAGGAATATCTGTGCTGAAGAACTTTAGGATCTTGATCTCTGTCATCAAGCTACTTTCCAAGCTACTTTTCTCTGCTAGCTTTGAACCAGCCTTAGCCAGCAATGAGAATATTAGTTGATAAAGTATTGGAAGTTTTATAAATATGAAAACAGTCCTCATTATTTTAACTTTATTGCCTATTAGTTTCCCTTATTTGTTTGTTAGTTTTTATTTATCGACTGAGAACAGATACATAAGTCAACTTTATTGTTTGACTCATGAAGTTTTATTGTAAAAGCCTTTCCCATCCTGCTCCCAGTCTCCTAGTTCTTATTCCATCTCAGACCAAATGCTGGCATAAATGTGAGTTTTTATGCCACTTTCTAGAGCTTGATTAACAATATGTGTACAATTAATATTGATGTATTTAGTATATGATTTATTCATATAATACTGTAGTGGTACATAATTGATAATTATATTAGTCTCACTATTTTTGCTCAAAATCTAGAATGTCTTATATCCTGGCTTTTATTCTTTAGAAATATATCCTAGAGAATGTTCCACATGGATCAATATTTCCTCATTCTTTTTACAAAATTTCATAATATTCAAAAGAGGATATTTTCTTCCAACATGTGCTTTACTTAATATTTTGATATTTGTAAGCAGAAACATTTAATATGATTTCGAGTAGTGCAGATCTCTTCCTCTGTTATTCTCACATATCTTATTCTTAATTTGTAATTATTTTCAAACAATTTCCTTAATTATTTTCAGTCAATGTAAGATTTGCATTTGTTTTCATGGCTGTGTGAAGGCATAGGTGTGTGCCTATGTGTATATAGATCCATGAGCTATGTTATTAGATACACTCTTACTTTCCTATAGCAGTTCTGCTTTGGAACCTTCATTAAAGACTAATTCAATATAATATCTTCATGAAGTTTTTAAAAGTTCTATAGTTTTCATTTAACTTTAACCCATCAAAATGGATTGTTTGTGTTATGTGGAGTGAGATTATGATTGGATTTTTTTGCTGTTGTTTGCATAGGTTTTGTACATGTCTGATAAAAAAATCATCTTACCAGTTTTTATTCTCTGAAAGTTTTATGTATTTGAAATAGAGACTTAAAAAAAAAAAAAGAGGGTAGGGGCTGGAGAGATAGCACAGTGGTTAAAAACACTGACTGTTCTTGCAGAAGACCCAGTTTGAATCCCAGCACCCACATGGCAGCTAACAACTGTCTGTACCTCCAGTTCCAGGGGAATCTGACAGACTCGTCTGTCCTCTGCAGGCATTGCACAGCACAGGTGCACTTACCTACATGCAGACAATACACACACACACACACACACATAAAAAATAAATAAATAAAATTTTAAAAAGACAGAGGGTCTTTTGAAAGTCTTAATGCCAAATTTACATTAGATTCTATGCAGCTATTAGTGGAGTGGAAACCACACTCCTGAAGTAGATCCTTCAATATCATGAACTCTGAGCTAGTGTATGATTTCGATGACCTTAAAACTGTGGTCAAAAGAAAATTTGGTTTTGAATATATTAAAAGTATATATAGTAATGTAAGTTTTCTGTTTAAGCAACTCATAAGGAAAAACTTGAGAAGAAAGAAAAACCAAAGACAAAGACAACAGAAAAAGGTAACTTTTCTCTTTATTCTCTTCATCCTTGACTCTAATTCTGAAATTCATATTTTGTGCACAACTTGAATGTTTTTATAATCATTCAACTTTTCTTTTTTTTTTTGGTGTTTTCAACTTTTCATTACATAAAATGATTTAAAACTAGATATCCCCAGAAAATTAAAACCACATTTGTCAAATGGATATTAAAATATAAGAGGAAAATGAAGTGTCATCACATATGATTGGTAGAAATTTGGTCCCTATGAGCTTTAGTCCATGGAGTCATCATCATGACTGTATTATATTATATGGCAGACACAATTTTTCAGAGGTTGTCAAGTTTGATCTCAGAGAAATTACCCTGATGCTTGATGAAATTACCCTGATGCACTTATGCTCAATGGACAATTTCAAAGTATTTTAAAAACAGAAGTTTCACAGAGTAAAAAGCAAGTTTTTGAAGTGTATGGTCTTATCTTCCTTGGCCATAGTGAAACTTACAGGCATCACATGGAAATAGGAAAAAAGAACTGAATCGTGCCTCTATGTTGAATAAGCGTGGTAGCCAGTTATTCACACAGACTCCACTAGGAAACACAGTTCATTGATGGCTTTATTTTAGTCTTATGATCCCTACAAAGTGCATTCCATCAAAACAGGTTGAGCCACACTTGAATCATGTAGACTGGCAGATGCTAAATGGGTACTGTCTTAAGCAGCTAAATCTGTGTTAATTTATTACTCTAGCAATAGGAAACAAACATAAGTGGTTCAGCATTTTTTGACAAGTGTGATATTTGCATTCAGACACTCACTATTTTAAGAATTTGAAGGGATAGGGAGGTAGCTCAGTTTATAAAGTGCTTATGATTCAAGCATGAGGGCTTGAGCTCAATCCTGAGAATCCACATTTAAAAAAATAATCGCATTATGGCAATTTTTGTAACCCCCCAAAATTGGGAGACATAGACAGGTGATCCCTGGGACTTGTTGGCTAGCCAGCCTATCCTAATCAGCAAGTTCTGGAGCTGTGTGTGACACTGTCAAAAGAAAAATGATAAATGATGCCTGAGGTGTTCCTCAAGAACTGAAGATGACCCTCTGTCCTCCACACGAGCACACACAGATGCATGTGTGTTTGCCCCACACATGCACACAAGAATTTGCATACAGAATCACCTTAATTATATGCTTCAAGTCTATAAAAACATCACTCCAATATTACTTATTTTGGATTATTTAGTAAGCTGATTTTTTTCTATTCTAATATATACCAGTTATTGAAGTATTTAAAAATATGCATTTTAACTAATAGCTCAAATTATCTCCTAAATTTACGTGTTTTACTCATATTTTAAAATGTAAGTTCAATGTGATTAGTAAACTGGAGCCATTTAATTCAGCATGATCAAGAAGCTACTCATTTATGGGAAATAATCTATTTTCAAAATTCAATGTGTTTTTAATAAAATATAAATGAATATTTCATGGAGACAATTTATAATGAAATTTTTCCATAACATAACCACGTTTTTGATATTAAAATGGACAAAATTTATAATTAAACTTTTTTCTGGAAAATATCTTGAATTTCTTCTCAAGATTACATTTATAACTAAATAATTTTATTCTGTTTACTACTTTTCTGTTTCACAGACATGAATGGAAATAAGTTGTGTATGCATTATATATATTTATTTATTTTAATGATAGTGTAGTGTGCTAATAAGTACACTATCATTAAGCAAATGAAGAAAATAAACATGACTACTTGAGAAACAATTTAACAAGGTTATATGTAGTTGGATTATACAAAAAAAGAAAACACAACAAAAATCTAGGTGAACTAAATATAAATCAAGTATTTTTTGAAAATAAAATATCTTAAAGAATTACTTATTCACTCAACAAAAAGTGTTGAATACTGTAATAGTTATTTATTGCTATGTAAAATATAGACCCTAATTTTGAAGATTAAACATATTTATTGTTTCACACTATCTGTCAGACAAGAATCTGGAATCACTTAGTTGAATTCACTGCTTAGCAGTCTCTCACAGCCAATGTATTAACCTGTGCTACAACATCATTTGGAAGTTCAACTGGGGAAAGATCATTCCAGTTTTATTCACAGAGCTGTTAGCAAGACTCAGTTCTCAGAAACTGTATGAATGAAGGCCTCTGCTTCCTGACCTTGTTGACTCCACAAATCTGTTCTTGATCATACAATTTACACTGACTTGATAGCTGACTTCCCTAAACCTAGCCAGAGAGAATCAGCAGAAGGGAGATCACAATCTTTTGTTGACAAATAGTGGAAATCTAATCCAATTACTTCTGCCATAGACTATTGGTTATCATATTCCCAGGTTGTCAACATTCATGGGGAGAATGTGACACAAGTGTATAAACACCAGAATGTAGGGATGTTGAAACCTCTTTAGTCTGCCCACTGCTAATGCTTTGATTTTACAAACATTCTTCTTGATAAATAGGTGTAAACAAATCATACACATTTTATACATACACAAATCCCCACACATATGGTTTTCATTTCATTTAATCCATGTCTATATATTAAGATTTGGACATTCATCAGAAGTTCTCTTTATATAATGCAGGTTTCTGGGAAAACAGAATCAGGTTAAAAACACATAAACTAAAGAGGCAACATTTAAGTTAGAAATAAATATGAACTCCTTTTGAAAGATGTGACCAGCATTGAAATAGATGATTCCTTGTGGCACTTTCATACAACACAGTGTTTTTTCTATTATTACTTGTTTATTTTTTTTGTTTGTTTGTTTAAACTATGGCTGGCCCAAGGGTAGGAGTTGTCTAGACCACATCAGAAGTTCTTCCTGAAAGAGAGTGTGCAGATCTGTGTTCAGTGTTACTCATGCTCACCGCATCTGCCAGAACCTTTGTGCACTGTGCTTATTTTGTCATAGTTAATAAAATAATAATGGAGAGAAGAAAAGCCAAAGATGGAATGAGACAGTAGAGGAGTGAACCAATGTTGGGCCAGATTATCACATGCTTTTTTCTAATGTGAGACAAATTTATTTGTTTTGAAGATTTGACAGTAAAAGAAGGAAATTTTCGTTTTTATGCTGAAAAACAACAATTATAATACATCCACTGGAATCATCATTACCATTTATAAAATTCAATGGCATTGAAATAGATCTGGATTTCACAAATCTTTGATATCACAGTACAAAGACAGAAGTAAAACCAATTTTGGTATACAAGGAGCAGACAGATACAATTTAAGATAACCCCAAATAACGATTTCATATAAAAGCATAAACAAGCAAACAAGCAAAGGTTGGTAAAATTCCTAAGATCTGATAAGTTTATTATAAACATTTATATTAAATATAAGATATATATGTCTATCTATCATCTATCTAGCTATCATCTCTAGCTATCATCTCTATCTATCTATCTATCTATCATCTGTCTACCATCTATCATCACTATATTGTATATATGGCCCAAATGTTGTAAACATTACTCCTTTTGATCAAAATCATTCATCTAGTGTACATTAATCCTGTTGTCCTCTGAAAATAAGCAATTAAACACAATGATGATAGAAAATCAATAATAAAGTTCCTATTCTCAAGTTGTTCCCAATCTGGCAGGAAGGACAGATAAGTGGAAAATCCTATAAAATTCAAAACATGAATAGGGAATTAAGTATATGCTTTAATAACAGTACTGGCAAATAGAAGCTCAAATGAAAGGATGATTAATTCTAGTTAGCCATTTATTTTTTGCATGTGAATTTAGTAAGATGGAATTAAAACTACAAGCTGCCACATTCTGTCATTGCTGCAGGCTGAAGGCACAATCATGGTGTGCATGGTCAAGTTCACGTGATCATGTCCTACCTAGCTGAGCCTCATCAAGTCGTACAGCCTGAGGCATACTTGGTCCTCAGAAAGTGGATCCAGCTTAGAATTTAGGGTATCTGTCACAGCTGGGAAACACATTCTCTGGGTTATCCTTGGGATGCCCATAAGTTATTTCACACCTGTGATTGACTTCACTGGCCATCCAATTTCCCTAAAGCTCTGCTGAGATCCAGTTGAGAAAGAAGTTCTCTGGTAATGAAGAACTTGGGTTTTAGTGAGAAATTAGCATGCAGGACATTCAGGTTGATTTAGCATATCACAATAAACATGGTGATTGTAGTTTAAGTGATGTTCCAGACATACACAGTGAAGATGAGGTCTGCTGCTCAGTACATGTTCAACTTAGTACATACCGTTGGTTAAAATGAATATTTTATAACAAAAAATAGGGAAAAATAGTGACTGTAGCAACTGTACTCTAATGATGTTTTGCACATGAAAAATACATGAGATTTTCAAAAGAAGTAGAGTTGTAGAAGAAACTTGCAGCAGGATGAATCCCGATATTACAGGTTTTAAATACTGCATTACAATCTCTTCAGATAACTACAGATTGCTGATCTTTAAAGTCCCATTAACTAGTGACCAAAGATAGAGTCTCTGGCAGAGACAGGTGCACATTTGCAGGCTGTAGGCTTGGGAGATAATGTTGGCCATCTCACTGCAGTTTCTCTCCAGATAGACACTGATAAACATCACCATGTGGCATCTGAAATGATGTTCATCTGAAGTATTGGCAGAAGTCTGAAATATGCAGAAAGTTATGAGTTTGCTGTACAAAAGAGAAGAAATAAGCAGAAAATATTCATAAATCATTGTGTAGTATAGGAAAGAAAAGAAAATTCCCATTGTATATTGACAAAATCCACACATTTATCAACTGTAAATATTGTATGAAAATTTTATGACATCAACAGGATGTTGATGTTCATCCATGAAGAACCTCAATATACTTAATCTTTGAGAAATTTCATGGCATGAAACTTGGTTTTTTGTTTGGCAACTCATTTCTTTCTAAGACACCTCTGATGTCTAAATCAGCATCAACTCTGGAGAGTCCCCAAGGTGCAATATATTGAAAAGTGTTGGCCAAGTCAATCAAATGCTTGATCACACATGATTTTGGTTATGTAAGCAAACTGACATCTGATATGATATTGTCATTCTTCTATAATTAGAAAGTGATTCGATTGTCTTGGCTTAGTCTATCTCAAAGCAAGGCACTAGATAGTTTTATTTCCATCAAAATCTTTAACAGAAGTGGCAAAAAAAGCTGTGCATTGCATTGACAAATGACAAGGGACATCTCAACATGTTGCTGACATTCACTGGTATCTAATAGTTATATGTGATTCCATACACTAAAAATGCCCAATATGCATTATCTATTGGAAATAATATTTGCAAATCATTGTTCTTCAAACTATAATAGAGGGACTGGAGAGATGACTCAGAGGTTAAGAGCACTGACTGCTCTTGTAGAGGACCCAGGTTCGAATCCCAACACCCATATGGAGGCTAACAACCATCCATAACTCCAGTTTCAGGTGATCCAACACCCTCTTCTGACTTCCATGGGCATTGAATGAAACAGGTGCACTTACAGACATGCAGGTAATACACTCATGCACACAAAATAATAAAATATTTTAAAATATAGTAGAATGATTCAGAGTGATTACTCTGCAAACCAGCTACCTATCCCAAAATATATGTACTATCAAATTAATAGTACAATACTACAAGATTTGTGTGTAGAACATATATATGTTTTAATTTATTTCTTCAAGTACATTTTAATTTTAACAGTTTTTATTTCATAGAATATAGTTAAGGACTTTACAAAATACTAGAACTGTTATCTCTGACTTGGGCTATGTAGGAGTGAATAGCTGCTCCCACACTCAGGCTTCAGTAAGCCAAATTATTTGAGAACACATCTCTCAGTTATTCTCTGTAGGTTTCATGTTTTAATTCCATGAATCTATATTAGTACAACTAATTTCCAATTTGCATTCTTAATAATTATATTCTTAAAATTATTGTGTTGGAATGTCTGTTTCTTGATGACCCTTAAGATTTTCAGTTGTGGTGCAAAATGATCATATTCGTTTTAAAAGGAGATTATTTTTGGTGTACTCTTTGGTGTGGGGTTTTTAGCACTGAGCATTCTTGTCCACACAAACTCTGCATGTTATTTATGCCTCATTGTAGACAAGTTATGTTCCTTATTACAAACAGAAAGAAACAGTATCCAAAACAAACAAACAACGGAACTCTAGTAGCAGTCACAATTATTCCTATCAAAGACCTTAATTTTCCATTATTTTCTTTCTTTTGAAATTGTGCTTTAGGAACAAATACAGATGAAACATTATTTTAGTAAATAAGGAAAAATAACCCAACATTTCTAACTCTATACAGAGGACACGAAAGCTAAGACTAAGGAAAGGACGGAAGAAAAGACCAAAAAGGAAGTGAAGGATGGGAAACCGGAGAAAGTGAGGCAAACAGCTGCAGGAGGAAAAGATGGGCAGAAACCACCACCGAAAGCCAAGGCGAAGGATGACAAGGAGGCTGCAGCTGTGCCAAAGCAAGAACAGAAAGGTAAAGACCCCGAGGATGCGGCCAGAGAGTCTAAAAGAACTCTAGGCAAGAAGGCGATGCAGTCAAAGCAGAGCTCAGACGGGTAAAAGACTGATCCAAGCCAATACCCCCCAAAGGAAGTACAGTACATTGAAAATTAGCATATTAATAGAAATACTGAACCTTGTTCACTTACTAAGATGCATTTTTAAGTATCTAAGGAGTGTTGAGTTAGCACCTGCTCTTATTTAAATATTGAGGCTGGATGCTAAATTCTCGCCAGGCAGGATTTCTATCAAGAAGTGGATAACAGTTGAAGAACTGTGTCAGACTCTTTGCAGAAAGGTAGTGAAAAAAAAAAAATGTCAGCAACTCTCAAGTTTACAAAGTCAATGTTCAACTCATACAGAATAAATACTGTGGAAACTATACATTCTTGATGTTTTTGAAGGGCACATCACTCAGAATGTATGCATCAAATTATTAATTCTTGAAAATTTAGAGAAAACTGGTATAAGAAAAATAACCCTCAGAGTCCTTCACTGGCCTCCTTACCAAATTTATAACTTTAGGAAGGCCTGCACCAGAGAGGAACCCTCTTGAACAAGTGTGATTTACTTATCTACTTTCCAGAAATATGACATTTAACTGGAGATAAACTTCTTCATGGATAGGTGCTATGTAAACATAAATAATGGTATTTTAAAAGACACACTAGGGCCTCTTTGTCCCACAGTTAGGATCCTTGTTGGGTTTTTCCATCCCTAAATCCATTCCTCAGTCCAGGTTGCTATATGTCCTGAGCTCCTTACCCAGAACATAAAATCTGATCTGAAGGGACTGTTCAAAATGTGCCTCTCATTGACATTGAAAAATAAAAAATTGTTTTATGCTGATATCAATTGAATACTTTCATTCAATTTATTCAGTTATTCAGGCAACATTTTATAAAACCTTTAAATATTATTGTTTAGAAGGTTATTTCAAAGCAGGGTGTAGTGGCCCTTTTTTTGGGGGGGGTGTCTTATTGAGACCTTATTGAGCCTCAGCTGGTCTGGAACTCTCTATGTAGACCAGGCTGGATCTGTATTCATCTGGTTCCCAAGTACTGGGACTAAAGGCATTTGCCACCAGACTAGCCTGCACAGACTTTAATCCCAGCCCTTGGAGGCAGAAGCAGGAAGATATCTGTGAGTCAGAAGCCAGTTTGGTTTACACAGTGAGTTCCAAGCAGGTCAGAACTATATAACTGTATAGTGAGACCCTGTCTCAAAAACAAACAAAACAAAACAAACAAACAAAAAAACTATTTGTGCTATTTGACCTGTGCAGGGGGAAACAATTTTCCTTATTATAAGGTGTACGATGTGAATAATACACTCTTTATATTTTTATCTTATCTTCCCAAAAGTTTACAAACTTTGATACTCAAATAATGCATGTAATCTTCAGTTTATATACCACATGATGTGTGTTTAAAAATATATTACTCAGGGCTGGAGAGATGTCTCAGCAGTTAAGCTCACTAGCTGTTCTTATAACAACATGGTGGCTAGCAACCATTTGTAACTCCAATTCCAGGGGAATCTGATGCCCTTTCTGACCTCCAAGGGCATTGCATGACATGGGTGTACCACATATATACAGACAATAGACTCTTACACACACACACACACACACACACACACACACACACACACTATATACATATATATA